AAAAAAAAAAAAAAAAAACATAAACTTTATTATTCAACATAAGCTCCATCAAGTTCAAGACACTTTTGTAAGTGATTATTCCAGCCTTTTAGTCTATATCAGAAAAACCGAGGCTCTGGGGAATTTAGCCATGTCAATGCAGTGTTTATTTTACATTATTAACTGAAGAAAAAAGGGTGCCCTTTCAAGATTTTTTAAGATTGGGAAATGAAAATAAATCGGTAGGGCCAGGCACGGTGATTCATGCCTGTAATAATCCCAGCATTTGAGGCTGAGGCGGGCAGATAGCTTGAGCTCAGGAGTGTGAGACTAGCCTGGGCAACATGGCGAGATCTATCTCTAAAAAATACAAAAATTAGCTGGGTGTGGTGGCACATGCTTGTAATCTCAGCTACTTGGGAGGCTGAGGTGGGAGGAATGCTTGAGCCCAGGAAGTCAAGGCTGTAGTCAGTGCAGATCACATCACTGCTCTCCAGCCTGGATGCCAGAGCAAGACTGTCTCAAAAAATAAAAAGAAAATAAGCCAGAAGAAGCCAAATCAGGACTGTAAGGTAGACAGTTAACCATTGCCCATTGAAACTCAAAAAATTGCCCTCATTTGATGAGAGGAAGGAGTGGAAGTATTATGGTGGGGGAATCTCTGGAGAAGCTTTCCAGGGAGTTATTCTGCTACATCTTTAGCTAACTTTCTCAAAACACTCTTGTAATAAGCAGATGTTATCATTCTTTGGTCCTAAAGAAAGTCAGCAAGCAAAACGCCTGGAGCATTCCAAAAAAATTTGCTGTGACCTTTGCTCTTGACTGGTCTATGTTTGCTTTGACTGGACCCCTTCTGCCTCTGGGTAGGCATTACTTTGTGCTTTGTCTTTAGGATCACACTGGTAAAGCCACAATTCACCTCTGTTATAATTCTTTGAATAAATGTGTCAGGATCTTTTGTTGTTGTTGTTGTTTTTATTTTGACAGTCTCACTCTGTTGCCCAGGCTGGAGTGTGGAGTGCAGTGGTGCAATCTCAGCTCACTGCAACCTCTACCTGCTGGGTTCAAGTGATTCCCCTGTCTCAGCCTCCCAAGTAGCAGGGATTACAGGTGCCCACCACAATGCCCAGCTAATTTTTATATTTTTAGTAGAGACAAGGTTTCACCATGCTAGACAGACTGGTCTCCTGACCTCAAGTGATGTGCCTGCTTTGGCCTCCCAAAGTGCTACTATTAGAGGCGTGAGTCATTGCGCCCGACCATGTTTCAGGATTTTGATCACACTTATATAAAATTTTCAATAGAAGCTCTGTTTTTATCTGCAGCTGATTTGAGTACGTTTTTTGTTTTGTTTTTTCATACAATCTTTCAGAAGGGAGGGTATGACGGTTTTGGCATCCATCAAGCAGAAAATTTGTTTAATTTTGCAGTCAGAATCGTGTAAGCTGAACCAACTGAGGTGTCTATGGTGTTGGCTATAGTTGTTTGTGCTGTTAAATGTTGTTCTTCATCACTTAGGGAACAAACGAGATGAATGTTTTCCCACAAACTGATGTGGATGGTCTGCCACTGTAGGCTTCGTCTTCAACACTGTCTCATCCCTTCTTAAAATGAGTTATGCATTTGTAAACTGCTGATTTCTTTGGGACAATGTCCCCATAAACTTTTTGTAGAGCATCAGTGATTTCACCATTCTTCCAACCAAGCTTCACCATAAATTGGATGTTTGTTCTTCACTTTTAGCACAATTCATGTTGCTCTGATAGGGGCTCTTTTCAAACTGATGTCTTATCCTTCTCAGTGCCTCACACTAACTAGATCCTGTTCAGTTAGTACAGAGTTTATTTTGGTGTAAAAAAAAAAAAAATTGAAATCCATGCATAGTTTTTTCATAATACACATTTTCCATGAACTTTTTGAAGACCTCTCATACTAGAGACCCGTTAGGAAACCACTGCAATTGTCAAGACATAAGGTGCTAACAATTCTAACCTAGGCTTAATGGCAGGAAGATTCAAAAATAGGGAAAGGCTGTCTGGTATCAGAAGCAGGACTTGCAGCACACTGCCCCCAAATAAACTCTCAATTAAAAAGAGAGAAAGACCTCCATATAAATCAACATTTTCTACAAAACTTCTTCAGTAGTTTTTCAACTGACCTGACTTTCATTTTTGGCTATGTTCATCATCTGAATCGTAAGTCTTTCTAAAATTTGGCAGTAACTCTAGTCTTTTCACACAAACCTGAAAAAAGGTCGATGTAGCAACAGCTTGAAGACAAAAGGCGACGAGATCTGTAATAGAATTAACTAGTTATTTCTGGGAAAGACACATCAGAGAAACACTTAGTATGATGTTCCTGAAAATGTGAGGACATACCTGATAAGGCAAATTTGCCACACAAGCATCAAAGAATGGCAAATCTGTTTTCAACACATCACCCACCAGTATTTGAAGTTTGCTGGCCACAGGCCTAACAAAAAAAGAAGAGATGTAAAAAGAATATTGTTTCATGAGATCGAAATGCACTTTAATTCTATTAGGTATACTCACGTGCCCTGAACTCTTTTGTGAAGTTCAGCTACTAGCCTTGGGTCAAGTTCACAAGCAACAACCTAATTTAAAAAAAAATTATTTAGGTTAATTGGAATATAAATCTCTTATTGTTATCCTAATAGGAACTCTTACATGATTTATGTAACAAACTTATTTTCCCTTTTTTTTTTTTTTTTTTTGAGAAGGAGTCTTGCTCTTTTTGCCCAGGCTGGAGTGCTATGGTGGGATCTCAGCTCACGGTAAACTCCGCCTCCCAGGTTCAAGTGATTCTCGAGCCTCAGCCTTCTGAGTGGCTAGGATTATAGGCATGCACCACCACACCCGGCTAGTTTTGTATTTTTAGTAGAGATGGGGTTTCTCTATGTTGGTCAGGCTGATCTCGAGCTCTTGACATCAGGTGATTCACCCGCCTTGGGATGCACCCGCCAGCATGCCTGTCTTCTTTTCGCATTTCTACCATCAATATTCCTTCAATTGTACTCTCCTACTTCAAATAGCAAATACCGGCCTGGTGCAGTGGCTCACACCTATAATGCCAGCACTTTGGGAGGCCAAGAAGGCAAATCATGAGGTCAGCAGTTTGAGACCAGCTTGGCCAACATGAAAAAACCCCATCTCTACTAAAAATAGAAAAAAAATAGCTGGGCATAGTGGTGGGCGCCTGTAATCCCAGCTACTTCGGAGGCTGAGGCAGGAGAATCGCTTGAAACCAGGAGGTAGAGGGTGCAGTGAGCCAAGACTGCGTCACTGCACTCCAGCCCGGGCAACAGTGACACTCCATCTCAAAAAAGCAAACACAAACCACCACCCAGAAAAGTAGACAGCCAGATTATGTGAGAGTTCTACCCATATAATCAATAGAATCATGTTTCATCTGTCTCTACGCTTTGTAATTGAACAGATGATGGTAAAAATACACCATATGGCCGTGCAGTAAGTGTTGGTAGAGAGGAGTGTACAATGCAGTCGCTCTTACTATTAGTATGTTACATCTACTGAGATACAGAATACATGACGTAGATAACTTTTCAAGTAAATGAAAGTGGATGTCAAATAAGGCTGAAATTGAAATTTTATTGCAATTTCAGCTGAGGTTTCATTGACTTCTTTTATTTTTATTTAAAAAAAAATTTTTTTTAAGAGATGGGGTCTCACTCTGTTACCCAGGCTGGGGTGCAACAGCACTATCATAGGTCACTGCTGCCTAGAAGTCTTGGGTTCAAGCAATCCTCCCACACCACCTTCCTGAGCAACAGGGACTACAGGTGTGTACCACCACCTCAAGCTAATTTTCTTTATTTATTTTTTCTAGAGACAGGTCTCACTATGTTGCCCAGGCTGGTCTCAAAACTCCTGGGCTCAAACAATCCTCCCACCTCAGCCTCCCAAAGTGCTGGGATTATAGGCATGAGCCATCATGCCCAGCCTCTTTTTTATTTTTTATAGAAATGGGGTCTTGCTTTGTTGCTCAGGCTGGTCTCATGGTTTCAAGCTCATGGTTTCAAGCAATCCTCCTGCCCCAGCTTCCCAAAGTTCTGGGATTACAGATGTGAGCCACAGTGCCTGGCTCTACTTCTATGCAGACTGTGTTTACAGGGTAAACAATGTGCTGCTTATTGTTTGGCTCCCAGATATATCTTTATTTTTATTTTTATTTATTATTTTTTGAGACAGGGTCTTACTCTGTCACCCAGGCTACAGTCAACTGGTGGGATCATGGCTCACTGGAGCCTCAACCTCCTAGGCTCAGGTAATCCTCCCACCTCAGCCTCCCTGGTAGCTGAGGCTACAGTCATGCACCACCACACCAGGACAACTTTTTGTAGAGATGGGGTTTCACCATGTTGCCCAGGCTGGTCTCGAACTCCTGGGCTCAAGCCATCCACCCGCCTCAGCCTCCCAAAATGCTGGGATTACAGGTGTGAGCCACTGAGAAAGGCCCTCCCAGGTCTATTATCGACTTTTCTCTGCATTCTGTAGATAATGCAGTCCAGCTCCCTTACCTTTCAATGTCTGGTTGGACTTGGCCAGTGAAAGGCACCAGGGTACAAGGGAGAGGGCTTGGGTATTTCCTTCCTAAATTACCTGTTGAGGCTGGGCATGGTGGTTCATGCCTATAATCCCAGCAATTTGTTGTTGTTGTTTTTTGAGTCAGAGTCTTGCTCTGTTGCCCACGCTAGAGTGTAATGGCTCTAACTCAGCTCACTGCAACCTCTGCCTCCTGGGTTCAAGTGATTCTCCTGCCTCGGCCTCCCACGTAGCTGGGATTACAGACTCATGCTACCACACTCAGCTAATTTTTTTTGCATTTTTAGTAGAGATGGCATTTCACCATGTTGGTCAGGCTGGTCTTGAATTCCTGACCTTGTGATCCACCTGCCTTAGCCTCCCAAAGTGCTGGGATCACAGGCATGAGCCACTGCACTCGGCCCCAATCCCAGAACTTTGGGATACTGAGATGGGTGAATCACTTGAGGCCAGAAGTTTGAGATCACTCTGGCCAATATGGTGAAACCCCATCTCTACTAAAAATTAGCCAGGTGTGGTTGCAGGTGCCTATAATCTCAGCTACTCAGGAGGCTGAGGCAGGAGAATCTCTTGAACCCAGGAGGCAAAGGTTGCTGTGAGCTGGGATTGCATCACTGCACTCCAGCCTGGGTGGAATGAAACGCCCTCTCAANAAAAAAAAAAAAAAAAAAAAAATCCCTGTTGAAATACCTAACCTGGTTTCTGTTTTCCTGACTGAAATATCTCATGTTTTCTAAGGCAAAATTTATAACGAGGGATCAGGAGTTACTACTAAAATAACTGCAATTAGTTAAAACATATTCAGATTGTAAACCAGCTGAGCTTGCTAACGTAGTCATTTGTGATACCAAACATTAAATCCCCTTTTTACCTTTTTTGCCTTTTCTAACAACTTTACAGTCATGTTGCCAGTTCCAGGTCCAACTTCTAGCACCACATCAGTTGGTCTTAAGGCAGCCTAAAAGCAAGCACAGCCACTTTAGCTATTCCGGCACATTCAGGACACAGAAGTTAATTTACACCTGAGCATCTTTAGTCATATGTGCTCCTATAAGAGCTTTTACTCTGACTCCATTTTTAGATTTCTTTACGATCTATGTGGTTAACAAAATTACTTCAATAACATTTGGTGTAAATGAAAATCTAAGACCTCTCCTAACTTGGAGGAATATTGCTGAACTTTAGAAGTCAGAAAAGCAGGAACAGCATTTGTGGGAAAGGCATTCTGCTTTCTATCTAGAAATATCCCAATAGCCTCTTGTTACCTTCTCTGTTCATATTAACAAGTTCAAATGGGAAAGGATTATACATGTTGGATGAGGATTTTTCAATTCTCAACCCATGTGTGGTTTCAAGGACACAGAAGAGCAGAAACTGTACACAAAACTGAATGTTTGTACACAGCTATAATATTCTAGGGCCACAGCTTTCATTAGATGCTCAAAGGAAACTATGAGCTAAAAAGGTTAAAATGGTACACCAACCTTCATTTTTTTTTCTCATTTTTCAAATGACATGAAGCCTGACAAGATCTTTAACTACGTAATGCTCTTTCTGTGTAAAGCTCCAGGCTGCTTTCTTTGCTTGTAACCACAAGTGTACTCTGCACCGTGTATATTTCATTTCCTAGCACTCAATCATCCATAACCATAAGAGAGCATCAATAACCCAGACAGGAGTAATACTTCGAGTAATTTATATGTGGCACTGGAATACACCAAATAATTTATACATGATACTACATGTTTTTCTGGGAAACAAACTTTCTCATGTGTGGCTTAGACATAAATAGATGAAGTACATAAAACCTAAAAGTGATCAAAAAGGGGATTAGAAATAGAAGAATAGGCCAGGTGCAGTGGCTCACCCCTGTAATCCCAGCATTGCGGGAGGCAGAGATGGGCAGATCACCTGAGGTCCGGGCTTCGAGACCAGCCTGGCCAACATGGAGAAGCCTCGTCTCTGCTAAAAATACAAAAAATTAGCCGGGCATGGTGGCACATGACTGTAATCCCCCCTACTCGGGAGGCTGAGGCAGAAGAATCGCTCGAACCCAGAGGCGGAGGTTGCAGCGAGCTGATATCGCACCATTGCACTCCAGCCTGGGCAACAAGAGCAAAACTCAGTCAAAAAAAAAAAGAAAGAAAGAAAGAAAAGAAAAAGAATTATCTTGAACAAATACAAAAAGTCCAGCTATAAAGTAAATAATCCATAAAAAGACTTGGGAACAGAATTGGGAACCAGGAGAAACTCAGACCCACAGAATGAAGCTTATCATGCAGAAGACAGCCGGTTAATTCTAGACAATTATTTGATTCATTCAACAAATATTTACAGAGCATCTATTTTATGGCAGGCAGACTTTCTGCGCTTATGTATTCATAGGAATAAAATTAATAAACCAACAACTTTCTCCCTTTCCTCTTCCACACCCACCTTATCGATAATGCTGTTAATAATGAGAGGATTTTTCAAAATGTGCTGCCCAATTCCCGTGTTGAACATGAGTCCTGTAAGAAAACACGGAACAGCCTTAATTTTCCTACTGAGATGAGATATTAGACTGTCGCAGAGAAGAAAGCTGGATGGGTAGGGGGAAGAGTTCTGCGCCAACCAGGGCCATGAAACGTCACGCCAGGACTGACAAACTCTTTATAAAGTTCATCCTCCAGCTGGAAAGGAGGCCAGAGGCGACGTGCAGGGCCTGCGGCCGGCTCAGTGACCCACCCGGTCTTCCGCGCTCACGGGAGCGGGTACTGACCGGCCTCCGCGGATCAGGTCTCGGTCCGCACCCCAGGCTCGGTCCTGCCGTAAGACCTGATCCTACCCCAGGTTCCTCGAGGGGATCCGCACCTCCAGCGCTCCCGAGCTCCCGGTGCTGCTCCTGCCGCCTGCGGCGGCGGCCGACAGCCCCTGACTTGACCTTCGGCATCTCGACAGGAAGCGAGCCCACAGGCCCAGGACGTCAAGGAGGACCAAAGTGGGCTAGTGAGAGAAAGCCACCACGTGGGAATCGCAGTCCCTCGCCGCCCGCAACATTCCGGCCCACGCGACGGAAAAGCAAGGGTCCGCCCCTTCTCGTATGGGTTCCTCCCCCAGAAGGAGGGCGGACCTTGGACCCCAGTGGCTGCCGGGAATTGGAGTCACCGAGTGAGGAAAGCCGAACCGAGGGAGCCTACAGATCCCAGAAGACACCGCCTTATGGAGCGCCTCAGTCTGGAGCTGAAGTCCTTGCCCCAACCAGAGCTGTATGAGGTTTTGGTGTGGTCCTCTCGGTGTTGCGAAGGCGGTTTAAATTATATAATGAGGTTAAGACTATGGATGCTTTAGAAGGCCAGTTTCTGGGATCGCTGAGGTCCAAAGAAGTACAGTATTCAGGTGCCTCGCTCCTTTTTCCCCCCGCAGCTTGTGGGGGTGGGAAACCCGGGATTTGGGATTCGCTTGCTCTTTTATGGGAATGTATTTTTCGCTACTTGCCCTGGGGAAAAGAATTGACGTCTGGTTTCGCTAGGGTTGCTTCTATTAGGAATAGAAGAATATCTTGAACAAATGCAAAAGTCTAGCTACAGAGTAGATAATCCGCAAAAAGACATATGATTGGGAACCAGGAGAAACTCAGACCCACAGAATGAAGCTTATCGTGCAGAAGACAGCCCGTGAATCCTAGATACTTATTTGATTCATTCAACCAGTAATTCAACAAATTGCTTTTGTGCCTCGTCATTCACTCACTCCATATACATTTATTGAGCTCCAACTGTGTATCAAACACTGCTGGGGATTCTAAGTTAAATAAGAAACTTACCTCAAAGTTTATTCTATTGAGAGAGATAGAAAATCCAAAACGCTGTAAATACCATAATAAGAACATATTGGGCATTGTGATAGGACAGTGCACCTGATTATAAACTGCGTGAGTACCAGGGCCACGATATCCACATCTGTTTTGCCAGCTAGTGTAATGGCTCTCAGTTTGAAATTTATCTGTGTGTATTCTATTTCGTTGAAGAAATAACTTCTTCCTACCATTACTAAAGCCAGCTCTTTTTTGAGCAATTCATTGGGTACATTCCCAAACCTTGGTCTTAGGCCCTTCTTTCTTTGATGTAGTTCTAAATCAGGGGAAAAATCTTGTATACCTTAATAGGATCTTCAACTATATGTTTAATTTCATTAATCATTGTTATTCCACAATTCTGAAAAGTCTACACTGTGCTAGGCACTGCCAAATGTTAATGGGATGAACATGGCCTGATGAGGTGGCTAATGCCTATAATCCCAGCACTTTGGGAGGCCAAGGCAGGCAGATCACTTGAGCTGAGAAGTTTGAGATCAGCCTGGGCAACAAAGTGAGACCCTGTCTCTACAAAAAAATACAAAAATTAGCCAGGCATGGTGGTGCAGGCCTGTAATCTCAGCTACTTGGGAGGCTGAGGTGGGAGCATTGCTTAAGCCTGAGAATTTGTAGTGAGCCAAGATTGCATCATCCTGGGTGACAGAGTCTCAGGATAAACATGACACAAAACCCTGTGTGTGATCTGTTATTGTTGTTGTTGGTTTGGGGTTTTTTGCTTTTGTTTTTTTTTTTTTTTTTTTTTTTTTTTGAGACAGTCTCACTCTGTCACCCAGCATGGAGTGCAGTGCATGATCTCAGTTCACTGCAACCTCCGCCTTCTGGGCTCAAGAGATCCTCCTACATCAGCCTTCCAAGTAACTGAAACGACAGGCATACACCACCTTGCTCAGTTAATTTTTGTATTTTTAGTAGAGATGGGTTTTCACCATGTTGCCCAGGCTGGTCTTGAACTGGCCTCAAGTGGTCCTCCCAACTCAGCCTTCCAAAGTGCTGGGATTACAGGAGTGAGTTACTGTGCCCAGCCTCAAATATTATGTTTTGAAAATGCCAGGTGCAGTGGTGCATGCCTGTAGTGCCAGCTACTCAGGAGGCTGAGGCTGGAGGATCGCTTGAATCCAGGAGTTCTGGGCTGTAGTGCACTATGCCGATGGTGTGTCCACACTAAGTTCAGCATCAATATGGTGATCTCCCAGGAGCGGGGTACCACCAGGTTGCCTAAGGAGGGGTGAACCGGCCCTGGTTGGAAATGGAGCAGGTCAAAACTCCTATGCTGATCAGTAGTGGGATTGCGCCTGTGAATAGCCACTGCACTCCAGCCTGGGCAACATAGTGATACCCTGTCTCTAAAACAAACAAACAAAAACAAAAATGGTGGGCTGAGTGTGATGGCTCACGCCTGTAATCCCAGCACTTTGGGAGGTTGATATGGGTGGATCATAAGGTCGGGAGCTCAAGACCAGCCTGGCCAAGATGGTGAAACTCTGTCTCTACTAAAAATACAAAAATTAGCCAGGCGTGGTGGCACATGCCTGTAACCTCAGCTGCTCAGGAGGCTGAGGTAGAGAATTGCTTGAACCTGGGAGGCAGAGGTTGCGGTGAGCTGAGATGGTGCCATTGCACTCTAGCCTGGGCCACAGAGTGAGAATCCGTCTCAAAAAAATTAAATAAATAAAAAATAAGATAAAGAAAAAGAAAATGGTGACTCACACCTGTAATCCCAAGACTTTGAGAGGCCAAGGTGTTCACGATCAGCCTAGGCGACACAGCAGGATTCTTTTGATACAAAAAAAAATGTTTTTTTTTCCATAGAATCCCATTCTGTCGCCTAGGCTGGATGGAGTGAAGTGGTGTGATCTCTGCTCACTACAACCTCCAACTCCCGGTTGAAGCAATTATCTTGCCTCAGCCTCCCCACCATGCCCAGCTAATTTTTTGTATTTTTAGTAGAGTCGAGGTTTTGCCTCGTTGCCCAGGTGGGTCTCAAACTCCTGAGTTCAGGCAATCCACCTGCCTCAGCCTCCCAAAATGCTAGGACTACAGGGATGTAAAATTATCTTCTAAAACAGTTTTATCAGTTTTCATTCTTACTAGCAGAATATGAAAAAAATACCCATTTCATCTTTTACTTTCTAGTACTAGGTATTCTTATGTTCCTTTTTCCAAACTAGAAATAATTTTATTATTTTTGATTATTGAAAAAACACTTTTGTCAGCTAATAGACACTACAAAAAATAAAAAAAGAAAAAAGAAAAAACATTTAAACAATGCAAATACAATTTTTAAAAAAAGGAGATGGGATCTTGCTGTGTTGCCCAGGCTGATCTTGAACTCCTGTCCACAAGCAGTCTCTTACCTTGGCCTCCCAAAGTGCTAGGATTACAAGCATGAGCCACCACGCCTGTTCTGCAAAAACATTTAAATAATGCTAAAATATTTTAGAAAGTAAAAACCACCAGCTAGAGTTCACATCTATTAACAGATAGCTATATATTTTTAAAAACTTTTTGTATACATATTATCGATTAAGCTTAAGTTCCATTTTACTGTTTATAGTGAATTGGATATATATAAAACTCTTCTAACCTCTTATTTTTACTTGGCTAAATATGATGGACATTTTTTTTTTTTTTTTTTTTTTTTTTTTTTTTTGTGTTTTTTTTTTTTTTTTTTTTTTTTTTTTTTTTTTTTTTTTTTTTTTTTTTTTTTTTTTTTTTTTTTTTGAGATGGAGTTTTGCTCTTGTTGCCCAGGCTGGAGTTTAGTGGTGAGATCTTCGCTCACCGCAACCTCCACCTCCCAGGTTCAAGCAATCTTCCTGCTTCAGCCTCCCAAGTAGCTGGGATTACACGCATGTGCCACCACGCCCAGCTAATTTTTTGTGTTTTTAATGGAGCTGGGGTTTCTCCGTGTTGGTCAGGCTAGTCTCCAACTCCCCACCTCAGGTGGTCTACCTGCCTTGGCCTCCTAAAGTGCTCGGATTAGAGGCGTGAGCCATTGTGCCCGGCTGATGAACATCTTTTAATGTTCATGAATATAAAGCTACATCAACATTTTTACCAGCAAATATATTCCATTGTATAAACATACCATAATTTACATAATCAGTCCTTATAGAAAGACATATTGTTTCAATTTATTGTAAACAAAAATCATTCTAGGAATTCTGCTAATTTATAAACATTGACAGAGCTTTATTATAATATATAGTTGCCGAAGACTCAATTTTATGCAAGATGAAACAATAAATGAAGGGTAGCAAATTAGAGAGCCTACAACTTTTGAGCATGTATTCTATTGCTGCTTCAGTGAATTACCACAAACTTAGTGGCTTAAAACAGGATACATTTATTATTTTAGAGTTCCAGAGGTTAGAAGTCTAAAATTGTTTGCATGGCTGAGTTTATTCTGGAGGCTGTGGGAGAGAATTGGTTTCCATGATTTTTCCAGCCTCTATAGGCTTTCTGCATTCCTTGACTGATGGCCCTGGCATCCGTCTGACATCGATTATACTGTCATATTTGTGACTCTATCTTGGACACTTCAGCCTCCTTCTTATAAAGACCCCTCTGATTACATTGGACCTAGAGGATAATCCAGGATAATCTTCCCATAGTAAGATTATCCTGCATAATTTAGTCACATTGGCAAAAATCCCTTTTGCTCTGTAAAGTAACATATTCACAGGTTTTGGGATTAGGACATGGACATCTTTTATTCTACCTACCACAAAACGTAAGATCTAAATTTGTTTAGAAATGGAGAACCTCAAACCTCACCTCAGACCACTTGAATCCTGATCTGTATTTTAGCAAGATCCGCATGTGATTCTATGCATACTTAAAATTTGAGAAGTACTATCTTTCAATAAAATCAGAAGATACAGTTAAGCAAAAAGAAAATAAAGCATAGTCACAATACCCATCCAGCTAGTGATAAACCCTCTTAGCATTTTGGCATTTATTTCTTTCCAAAAGTGGGACATTCTGAACATAATGTTTTGCAACCCTCTTTTTTCACAATGCATTGTGAATGTGTAACACGTCAACAAATACACTCAAGATAATTTTAGTTTATTTAATTAATTGTGAGTGATGGGAGAGTTCTTCAAAGTTTATATCTTAGACTACATTATAAGGTATTACAATTTCTTTCTCCGTGGCCATTATCCGCCAACATAAACATATACCCATGTATGTTTTCTAAATCAGCTACATCTTAAATCAGCTACCTTGACTCACTCCAGCATGTCTGAACAGAACTGGGCAAGCTCCAAACCCTTGTACATGCTCCTTATTTGGAAACCCTCCTGACCTCCTGACTAGCTTACTCTCCTTCCTTGTCTTCTTTGTTTTCTTTCCCCCTTATATATTCAGGAAATTTCCAAGCACGGAATGTGAGGTCCCATTCTGGGCAATGGAAACTGGACACAGCAGTAGGGCGATTGCGTCAGGTTATGAAATTTATAAATGTCCCTGTCTCTTTTGTTCAGGTGTGCTTCTTGTGGCAAGACTGCTGGTGAGTTGCACCCTTTCTGCAGGAAGTAAACTAGCTTTGCTGAGTTATCCATTGTCTTGGCGTGGATTTTTCCCAACATTATAAACCCATTTCCAACATTAATTACATTCTTTTTTTTTTTTTTTTTTT